AAAATATTTGTCCGAGCATTCGGATAATTTTTCGATATGACCCTGTTTCAGTAATTTGTCAATTTCTGCATCCACTTTCTCTTGCAACGAAATCGGGACTCGACGCCCCTTCTGTTGAACTGGGGTGAGGTTTTCAAAAAATTCGGCTTGTACTTTGTAGTTTCTTATTTTCCCTACCCTGCTAAAAAGGTTTGAAGGACGCCTTTCTAAAAGTTTGTAAGCCCGAACTGAAACTCTTAACGGACCGTGAACATCTAGACCTTGTGCAGCGAATGATACGAGGAGGCATGTCGTCGATTTACGCGCGCCGATTTTACAAAGCAAACAATAAATACCTCGACGATTTTTCGCCCTCAGAACCATCAAGCTACATCCTCAATATTGATGCAAACAATTTGTACGGGGGGATAATGAAACACTGCCCTTTGCCCTTAAACGATTTTTCAATAGTTGAAAAAAGTCTGGCAGACATACTGCTCACCAGCGAAACATCAGAATGGGGTTATATAGTTGAAGTCAATTTAACCATACCCGAAGAGCTTCACGACTTCTTTGCTGATTACCCCCTTGCCCCCTCTCGTGAAGTAGTGGACATCGGTGCAATGAGCAACGAGCAAGTCGACATGTTGGGAAAATTGGGAATCACCACACTGCCAAAAGTGCCAAAGCTTCTACAGACCTTGCATCCTAAAGAAGGTTATGTTTTGCACTACCTTACCCTAAAATTGTACCATGAGCTAGGAATGAAAATAACTCACCTCGGAAAAGTTCTTCAGTTCCGCCAAAGTCACTGGATGGCACCCTTTGTCGACCTCAACACCCGCCTACGAAAAGCCGCGGTAAATAAATTCCAGGAGAACTTCTACAAGCTAATTGTTAATTCAGCTTTCGGTAAGACAATGGAGTCTAAGTTAGGAAGAAAGAAGCTGGAGATTGTAAGGAATGAGAGAGAACTTTTACAAAAAACAGCTCTGAGCACAATGAAAAGCTTTCAAATCATTGACGATCAATTAGCCACAATTAGCTTTTCAGTAACAAAAATATTGTGGGATAAACCTATGATAGTTGGTGCGACCATCCTAGACCTCGCCAAGCGTTTCATGTTTCAGTTTCACTATCAAAAAATGAAACCAAATCTAAACTTGGAACTCCTTTACTCCGACACGGATAGTTTTATTTACGCCATAAAAACTGATGACGTTTACCGAGACTTGGAGAAAATAAAAGCTGATTTCGACTTTTCAAATTACGATAAGGACCATTTCTTGTTCGAGGATACCAACAAGAAAGTTGTGCTGAAGTTCAAAGACGAGACTGGTGGGAAGCCGATCAGAGAATTCATCGCCCTAAAACCGAAACTATATTCGGTCGTCCTTAATGGTAAATAAAATTTAAGCCACCCTTCCACCCCCCATTCCTACCTTTTACAGAACAAAAATACCACCACCAACCTACCTACACCCCTTAATTTGTTGCATTAAACTATGGGCATTTAGCTGATTTAGGCAACATTATACAATGTTGCCTAAACGTTGATTTATCTGACAACATATTCCCTCTTGTTTCCTCTTTTTTAATCATAATTTAGAGTCTTCTGCTCTTTTTTGGTAAAATGAATCAAATTTTGTTCGGTATAAATTGAGTTGCTGAAGTGAAATGAAGCTATCCCCAACGTTGTAGAAAAGAATAATAATTTTGCTATTGTTTAGAAGGCACTCAAAAATTGAGTGCCAAAGGAATTAAACGGAGTGCACAGAGAGAACTGGTCCACCAAACCTTCAGGGACACATTATTCACTGGAAAAACAATGAGAGTATACAACTATAATATAGTTTCGAAAGGTCACACCAATATGACAGTGAAACAAAACAAACTTGCATTATCACCATTCGACTCAAAACGTTTTCTACTTTTCGACGGAATTTCGACAGTGCCCTTTGGCCATAAAGCCGCTGAAGAAAATGCTTTTCTAGAAGACATTTACATGGACACCGAGTGGGCCAACTCATACAATGAAACTGATAACAGTTCTCCCGATTTTACACTCCCGGATTGGGGATTTTTACAGCGGCCCTACTCAGAAGCAGAGCTGCAAGAAGAAGAAGAAGCTTCTAGTAGCCGAGTCCGTGAACGTCCCCCTATAAAAAAACCCATTTATTTTATCTGAAGCTTCAGAAGAACGACCATCTAAAAAACACCGCAAAGAAAACCAAAACAATAAACATTAAAGTCTGAAACATATATTTTCAGATGATTTTTACTCTTCGTCCTTTTTATACTTCGACTTGTATATGTTTTGGTTTTTACCAATTTACAACTAATAAAATACTCGTATTGAGCTCAATCACTGTTTTAACATAAATAGCTTCAGGCAAATAAACTAGTAGACACAAACCAAGTGTTAATTCAAACAAATGTGTGAAATCCTTAGGCTTGTTTTGAATAATAAACTTTAATAGCATGACAAATCTTTGACGAAAAGAAAGAAAGCCAGGAAATGATATCCACATGAAACTAGGACGAAAAAAGAAAAGTTCAGGAATTAGGACGATTAATTTTAATTATCGCGGGAAAAGGGACCGCTTTCAAAGGAATTAGAAGGAATTATTGTATCGCGTCCCGGTTGTTGAGCTCAGCTTAACAAGATCCTAAGGAGGGGGTCTTTTACTTTAGGGGTTGGAACTTGCGATCATTTAAAAAATTCCTAGGATAGGGGTCCTCCAAAAAATTAAGGACCCCTTTCCTAGGATTTTGCTTTACGTGAGGACCCCCCCCTTAGGAAGGACCCCCCCCTTAGGATCCGGGACACGATACAATACTACTACTGTATGCTCGTCTCAGCGTTTAGTGGCAGTTGGCCATAAGCATATGTTAAATCCATTGTTGTGAAATATATGTCTCCCTGTTTTTTTTCGCTAATCGTTTGTCCAACCGTGTCCATTAGTTCCTCGATATTCGGCATTTGGTATTTATTCTTATGCACTTGTTTATTTAGTTCCCTCGACTCGAGTGCCAGCTTCACGGACCCATCCTTTTTTACTGTTATTACTATTGGGGACACAAAATATTTGTCCGAGCATTCGGATAATTTTTCGATATGACCCTGTTTCAGTAATTTGTCAATTTCTGCATCCACTTTCTCTTGCAACGAAATCGGGACTCGACGCCCCTTCTGTTGAACTGGGGTGAGGTTTTCAAAAAATTCGGCTTGTACTTTGTAGTTTCTTATTTTCCCTACCCTGCTAAAAAGGTTTGAAAACTGCTTACTGAAAAATGATTGCCATGAATCCAACTCCCCTCCATGGACATGATGTGGTCCCCTGGTGATTGTTGCACCAACTGGAGTCCTAGTTGGGGCATCAGATCTCTTCCAATTATTGATGATCGGTTCCCTCCGATTACTTTTATCCTTGCATGGATCTTCCAGCCGTTTGATTGTATTGTTACTGCCATTGTTCCAATTATCTGTAGTGGATTGTTCCCATAATCCCGAAAAGCATTGTCCTCCTCCGTAAGATTGTCCAGTCTTACTCCTGATGTTCCAAAAGTTTTCCGCAATTCTCCGATGGTGAAAATTGAAATTGGGGACCCGCTATCGATCCACACTCGAGTGGGTTTCCCATTGACTTTGATCGGCAATTGTGCTCCAGCAACTTTCAATTCTGTGACTCTTTTTCGTTTTATGGCCATAACCATATAGTCCCCGTCGGAGCTGCTTGAGTCCCACGAGTGCACCACTGGATTCTTATTAACCCATCCAATGGAACTTGCATGTTGTGATGCTTCTTCGTCCGCCGAATTTTCTAGGTGATGATCGTCGCCATTCTCCCGTATCATTCCTACGGCTCCCTGTCCCCGCTGGTTTCCACGTTTTCCCCTGCAGGTTCGTTCGAAATGGCCAATTTTGTGGCAAAAATTGCATGTAACCCCCTTTGCTGGGCATCTGTCCAAGTGTTCCCTGGTGAAATTTTGTTGATCGCAGTTATAACATTTGTTGTTATTGGGTAGATTTCTGCCTCGATACGATCCTCGCCCTTGATAAGAGCCCCGGCCCCTTGCACGACTGTTCCGATAACCTCCACGGATTATTCCGACTGGTTCCGATTTTATCTGGATTCCTCCGCCTCCTGATGATGATCCTGGGGCCCCCACTGGTCCCGTGGCAACATATGATGATGCATACTTGTTACCCCTCTCGTACGAGAGAGCTATCCGGTACACTTCCTCAGGTGTTTTCGTCGACCTGCATAGTTCCTTTTGTGCATCCCGATTATTCATGTTAACAATGAATACGTCTCTTAGTATTCGGTCTTCTAGTGTTCCAAAATTGCACCGCGCTGCCAATCCGCTGAGTACGGAATGGAATTGCTCCAAGCTTTCATTGATAAATTGCTTACGAGAAAGGAGTTGGTATGTTTCATATGTTTCATTTCTTTCTTTCTTAAATTCCGTTTCCAGCGCGTCTATCATCCGTGGGTAACGAATCGTCTGGAGATCCAGGTGTGGTCGTCTTTTGTGCAGTTCATCCTGCCCCTTTTCCCCCAGACACAAATACAGGTTCGAAATCAACACCTGTTCTGATACCCGCCGATTTTTCCCGTCTACTTTCTCGGGCAAGTCCGTAATTTGGGCCTCTGTGAGTGTCGCGGCGAAGTAAAAGTTCATCGGGTTTAGTGAGTGTTTTGCGACCATTCCCCATTGGAATCTGTTGATCCAGAATTACCACAACATTGGCGGTTCCGTGCATTTTGCATGTCGAGAAGGTAAAACTGTCGTTGTCCAATTGTTAATTCCGATAGAAGGGATTGTCAACTTAATCTCACAAAGTTAGCATAAAAAGTGGTTAGAAACAGTATCCAAGGGTGACAGACTGTTCCAAGGACAAACACCTGCTAATCAATTAGTCTAGCACCAAGAGTGAACGTTTGATTGACAGCTTCCGAAATGAACTCAATTACTCTATACAACAAGTGTATCAGCCATGTTAGTTGTGTTTCCAGAGATGATCCAGCGCGAAGTTGGATCCAGTGTTATCGTGAAGAGGTGCGTCACTGAACAGGGTGAGAGCATCACCTCCTGGAAAGTGCACTGTGCACTACCATCAAAACCCGCGGCGATAAGGAGTGTGTATGTAGTGCAGTGTGCACGCAGTTCGCACTGGAGCGTGCTCACTTTGCACAGGAAGGACCCTATGGAGTGGATGTATGAGGGGAACAACGGGAGAACAGATAGAAGCTCACACGCCCACCACGTTCATCAGCACAAAATGTGGAAGTACTGAAAAACAGAAAAAAACTGCTTGTGGTGAACAATTTCACATATTTTTTGTTCTAGAAATTTTCTTTCAGTATATTATAGTTGATGGCCTTTAGGGAAACTCGTTTATTTTGTGCATTTTTTGGATTGTTATCAATGCATTCGAAAACAACTCCTCAAAAAAAACAATATTATCTTTTTTGTTCCGACCGCTGAACGTGGGTATGAGGAACTTTGCTCTCGCGTGCGGTTAGTTTTTGTTTTTTAAACTTTTTCAAACTTTACTGACCAAAAATATTAACCTTTTTCCATTGAAAAAATCTTATGCCACTAAAAATGCAGTTTGGTCCTTTATTTCGGCGACGATGGTGTCTGGTTCTGTAAAATGAAAAATTACTATGTTGAGTTTGCCTCTAACTGACTAGAAATTAAAGTCACATGCAGAGCATATATGCGTCAATTCATCATAAATTTAAGTTGGCGAATGCTTCGAGTTTTTACGGTGAAAATGCGAAACGGTTGAATTCAAAACTGAATCATGTTTGTTATTTTCAGACCTCATTTTGCGCTCAAGAATCAACTCGCGTTGATTTGAATCATACAAACAAAATAACTTTAAAACGCAAATACTTTCTGAACGAGTTGCAATCATTTTACCACTTTCAAACGTATAAAATACAAATCCAGAATCTTACCATCAATTATGGTGGTGGTTTTAAAGTTAGTTACACCAATACTGTTAGTGTATTTTGCTACTGTTGTTAATGGTCAAAAAGCATGTCCGGGAAACTGTACGTGTGGAGCACCGAAGTCGTACGACCAGTTCAGAGGTAGAAGGCCAGACGAAGTGATTGACTGCTCTAATAAGGGATACTTTGAGATCCCTTACTGGGACATACCATGTGACACCCGCGTGATAGATTTTTCCGACAACAAGCTAATCAGACTGACAAGAAGTAGCTTCCGTGGACTTCAACAACTAGAGTATATCTACCTTGCAAGGAACCAAATCGACTACATGGAAGCGGCGACGTTCGCAGGGCTCCCGAATTTGAAGGAAATTGTCCTTTCGGGAAACAATTTTGACGATATTGACGAGAGACCGTTTTGGGATGGCACCTTCCCTAGCTTGATGGTGCAATTCGACCAGAACCCTTTCTTCTGTGACATCGAACTGAAGAGAACCATTCAAGATGTAGAGTACAAAATAGCAATGGAAGGCGGCATCAAATGTGCCGACGGTGAGAGGCGGCGTCCTGTGATGTATCGAAACAGGCAGAGCCAAGTCAAAGGTTTTCCTTACATTGAGGCATATGAAATTATCCGAAATCGACACTATTCGTGGGAGATCGGACTCATTGCCGGAGCGTGCTGGACTTTCACCTGGCTATGTGTGGCATTGTTTTATTTCTTCTGGACTTGGGACGAAGGCGAACCGAGAAAGAAAACAATAAAAGCGCTAACCGATGTTAAGGGCAAAACTTGGAACAGAGCTAAGCAGTTGAATGCAACAGGCGACGGGAGACTTGAGTTTGAAATGGATCCTTACGAAGACGACCAATACGACGCCCAATATCAATATGACGACCAATATCAATACGACGAAGAATATCCATACGACGAAGAATATCCATACGACGAAGAATATCCATACGACGACCAATACGACGCCCAATATCAAGATGGCTACGAAGGACAGCAGTATCCAGACGCGGAAACTTTTGAGGACAACGACCGGTATTATAGAGATGAAAACGATCCGAATGGACCACTTATGGACAATGGATATTTGAAACCATACGACAATGTACCATACCATGACGACATGCCAGATCGAGCCATGAGTCCGAGAATGGGACCAGAAGAGGAGGGACACCCAAGAGATCAGCCACACGAGTACAGTCAGCCGAGAAGAAACTATGGAGCGGAGCCGCATCACCAGGACAGTCTTCGAGAGGACAATTACTACCCGAATAGCCGGGGAAAGGAGCCCAGAGGGGGCAATGAAAGACCAGGAGGTCACATGCCAGATATTCATGAGCAGCAGAGAGGAGGAAGAGATGCTGCGTTTAGCGGTGGCGCAGGTGGAGGAGACCCGCGAGACGATTTTGATATCTAGTGCCGGTGATGTCGAAGGACACTGATGGATTGATTTTTTACATGACACTTACATGCAATGATGTTTTATGACAAATTGATGCTTAGCTACTTAACAATTAATTTCTATTGATCCATACATGTAATAAAAATTGATCTTAATTTACGATGAAAAGAAAACTATTTAGGAAAAATGCCGCAGCGTCGGTAAGACTAAAAAAATCAATGACAAACTAGCAACATATAACGAATTTATTTTGGTCATTTAATTTTTAATAGTGGGGCAAGCAATAGCGGTTTGAAGGGAAAATGGGTACAAGCAATACTGCCTCACCATGCACAGGGTTCGACCGTTTTCGGCGTCCATTTCAGCTGAGCGATCATAAAGTTTTTCTAAGGGTCTTTTTAAACGGCGTGTTTATTTTAGTTTGCTTGTGATAAAAAAATGTATGCCTGGCTGGGTTAAGAAAGTTAGGCTATTCATTGTTTGTCATTAAATTTTTTTTTAAAGGCAAGAGGAGAAGTTAAATAAATTATGATGTAAAAAATGTCGAAACATGGAAACAAAGACCCAAAAACCTAGTAGGTTCAAAAGTCATTGCGTGTCTTCGCACAATTGCAAACTTTTTTTATTTCATTATTAGTTATTCATCTTTTTGAGAAAGAAAAAAAGAGAAAAAAAACGAAGCCGAAAAAGCAAAAAAAAAATAAACGAAATTTGAGAATAGTAGAAAGTACTCTCACGTACTCTCAAATACTACTTGGTCAAACATTACACCCAGGAGTTTGAATTTTCTGGCATAGCTGGAATGATTTGATAAAGCTCGGAAAAATTTCAAAAAAATGTGTACCTAAAAACTATAAATACAAAAACTCTAAATTGTAATCGAAACGTTTTGTCCTACATGTTTAGCAAAAACCATCTGTTGTTTTTTGTGAAAAAGTTTTGATTGTGTAAAGTAAATAAATTTAAGCTGTTGTTAGGAAATTGATGGTTTAGTCTTTTTAATTTAAGGATATTAAGCATCTCTACGAGTATAAGAGTAGAATGTGAAATCAGCATCGGAAAAAAATACCAAGTGGTAACAAAGCCAAAGCAGAACCCTTTAGGCCGGAAATTAAAGAAACAAAAATCAGGCCACGTAGCCATTATAATATGAGCCAAAACCTATTCAGTCAAAAAACCAAAAAAATCAACAAAAGTCAAGACTATTTAAAACATTTCAAGTCCTCATCACCCCAAAAAAAGACGCTATATGAAGCTATTACGCCAATTTTAAAACAATCCGAAACTTTTCAATTGGAAAAAAAAACACCGGTGCAGAGCGAAACTTCGCCTCACTTGTGATACAAAGATACATCATAAATAAAACAAACAGAAAAAAAAACAGAAATAAGTAGAAAAAAAATGATGAATCAAAAATTTCGTATCACTCGATGAAGGAGGCCAGCTAAAGCTGGAGGTAAAGATTTAGTAAACTTGAATTTGTTAAACCGATGCAGGACGATATGCGTGATTTCAAAAATTAAACTTTGTCAAAAACCCTATTATTATTAAAGAAAGTGAGAAGAGTGAAAACTTTTGAGATTTTGGAATTTCTTATGTAAAATTCTTTTGGAATTTTCACAAAACTTTAAGGAAGAGCGGCTTCTGCAGAAAAAATTTGCCCAAAGCTCTTCTCGATTGAACTTCTCATCTCGAATTTTATAGCGTAGTTTTTAATCTTTCTGTGAGTTACTACAACCTACCTAAAACGTTAATTTCATAGCTATTGATTTTGTTGCGCTTACTTGGCAAAAATTTTTCTTCAATATTTAAACGTTATTTTGCAAAAAAACTTATTGGCAAAAAAATCTTTTCGGCGCTCGCTTTCGGCGTCCATTTCAGCTAAGCGATCATAAAGTTTTTCTAAGGGTCTTTTTAAACGGCGTGTTTATTTTAGTTTGCCTGCGATAAAAAAATGTATGTCTGGCTGTGCTAAGAAAATTAGGCCATTCTTTGTTTGTCATGAAATTTTTTTAAAAAGGCAAGAGGAGAAGTGAATTAAAATATTATGTGAAAAATTACCAAACAACAAAACAATGACCCAAAAACCTAGTAAGTTCAACTTGAGCCATTGCGTGTCTTTGTACAATTGAAATTTTTTTTTTATTGCTATTCATTCATCTTTTTTAAAGAAGAAAAAAACAAAAAAAAACCGAAAAAGCAAAATAAAAAATTAAGAAAACTTGAGAATTTTAGAAAATGCTCTCAGGTACTCTTAAATACTACTTGTTCAAATTTTAAACACAGCAGTTTGAATTTTCTGGCTTAGCTGGAATAATTTGAAAAAGCTAGGAAAAATTGCAGAAAAAATGTGTTGCGGAAAATTATAAACTTAACAACCCTTAATTTTAATCAAAATATTGTCCTACATGCTTAGCAACAACCATCTGTTGTTTTTTGTGGGAAAATTTAAATTTTGTAACTTAAATCAATTCACGCTGTTAATAAAAAACTGATGTTTTAGCCTTTTCAATTTTAAGGATTATAAGCATCTATACGAGTACAAGTGTAGAATGTGAAGTTAGCATCGGACTAAAAAATTACCAAGTGATAACAAAGCCGATGCAAAAACCCGTTGAGCCGAAAAAAATCAACAGACTTAGAAAGTTAATAAGTCCCCCACGCCCTCAAAACACACATACAAAAATCTTCATTTGCTCGTCAAATGGAACAATATCACGTCACTAAGCTAATATAATATGCGCCGAAACCAAACTAGCCGAAAAGGGAAAAAAACTCAAAAATAATTAAGAATAATAAAAAAGATTAAAAAAACGCAAAATGAGACCATCAAGCCAATTTAAAACAAGCACAGAGGCAAAGCGGAGATTCGCACCATTTGGGATTCAACACAATCATAAACAAAAGATAAAGAGTCGAAAAAACTAAAAAAAGGTGGAAAAAAGACCAGGTGAACTAAAATTTTTGTATGTCTCAATGAAGACACGCAGAGCAAAACTAAAAGCTGGAGGTAAGTATTTGAGGTTTTTGAACTGGTTATGATGATACAGGACAAAATGGATTGAAAATTAGACTTCACTTGCTCAAAACCTTTCTTGCTTCTCTACAAAAATAATTGAGAAGAATAAAAAACATAACAATTATCTCACAAAAAATTAAGGAGCAGCCGCTTCTGTAGGAAAAAGTCGCTTAGCCGCTTTGTCGATTGAACTTCTTATCTCAGATTTGATAGGGTAGGGTAGGGTTGGGAAAACTCAAAAAGTTCAAAAACTTGACGTTCCGAAATCCGAAATTTTTTCTGCTTAAAGCAGGTAATGGCCGATAAAGTAGAGAAAAATTCCAAACTGGGGTTTTCGATCAAACACTTAACCTGAGAATTGGAACGGTAACTATCAAGTAATATCGAAAGCTTTCCAAAAAACGGACAAAGTTTCAAAACTTTCACTTTCTCGAAGACCATAGCTTTTTTTCTGTCATCAGAAACTTAGATTCACCACGCCTGTTGTTTCGATTACACCCATTGCAGGTTTGGCGGTAGTTATCGAGAAAAATCACAATTTCAAAAATAGCGTCAAAATTTTTTTTTGAGATTTCCGAAAATCGTTGTTTTTCGTGTGGGCTAAAACTTAACTTTTGGAGTCAAAAAATTTGGGTGTATTCGCACAAGCAAACGAGCTTTCTGAAACTCGTTCTGAGAACTGAACCCAAAAATCTCAAGTTTGACAGGCTAGTTTTCGAGAATACTCAAAAAGTTTATAAAAATGGTCAAAAAATTAAAAATTTGAACTTTCAGAGGGCGATAACTACTTCTTGTGCGAAACTTTTTTGTTTGTTTCCGCTAATGCAAAAGGTTGAAAAAATAAGTTTTTACTTTTTTGAAGGTCTCAACTTTTTGCGTTAAAACAATTTGGGCGTCGAAGCTTATGCAGCAGAGCTTCTCAAAACACGTTCTATCCATTGAACCCAAAATCTAAGATTTGTGAGCCTAGTTTTCCAAGTTGAAAAAAAATGGTCAAAAAATATGAGCATGGCCGCTTATGAAGAAGAGATTCGCTTATGAATGAACAGATTTACCACACCTCTTGTTTCTCTTGGACCTATTTCAGGTTTGGCAGGGTACTCGAGAAAAATCAAAATTTCAAAAAACGATCAAAAATCACAGTTTTGGCTTTTTCAAGTGTCATAGCTAATGCATGGGAGCTTCGCATAACCCCTCCTTTTCAAAAAAAAATCAAAAAATTTCAAAAATGGTAGAAAAAATCGAAAATTGACTTTTCCTAGAGCGATAATTTTTATGTGTAAACATTTGGGCGTAGCCGTCGTAGCCGCTGATGCATGGGAGCTACTCAAAACCCGTCCTTTTGATTAAAATCAAATCAGATTTGGATTAGCAGCTTTTGAGAAAACTCAAAAAATTAAGATTCAAAGCTGGGTGCATAGAAGTTACGTTTCCATTGAAAAAAAAGGAGACTAAGCCGAAATCATTTGGGCAGAATAGTTTCAAGCTATAAAAAAACAATAGAAGGAAACATAAAAAGTCAACGTCAAAACATACGCAGAGAATTAACAAGCGGAAAATTTTTTGAAATCAGGTACTTCTTATTTGAAAAAAAAAAACAGGTCGTGTCAGATTCGAACCTATAGCCTTTGCCGTCCTAGGCGTATTCATTACCTCCAGACCAAGTGTGCCGGAGATGCAAAGAAATTTGAATTTATCAAGAGCTAAAGCTACATTTACCGTTTCTAATTTTGACCATACTGTGAACAAAATTATTTACGGGAAAAAGCCTAGTACCCGATTGCAATACCCTTGCTTATCTCAAGGGTAATTACGTCTAATTCATTAAGTTTCTACGCTTTTTATGGTTAAATTGAAAAAACGCTACATTATACAACGCTAAATTGAAAAAAAAAATAAAACCTCTTTTCTGTATTTTTTGTTGGAGCAATCTGTCCTACTTGCACAGCAACCGGCTATCCTTGTTTAAAATATAATATATTTTAATTTTCATTAACTTTTGTCAGATAAGACCATTTACCCACGAGGCAAAGGACGTACATAGGAGCTGCTCAGCTCCGAACGGAATACCGCTGTTGCTTCCTTGTTGTCGAGCATGTTGACAAACATAAGTTGCTTAAAGGTTTAAAAACAACCGCATTCTAATAATTTATTAAGTTATATAAGGAGTGATCAAATTGGTACAACTATGAAACAAAATTTTACAGATTCACTGGTAATAAAAATCCATATGTCAAGCGGTAACTTTTTAATATACTCAACCCGCTCAAAAACGATTAGCACGTATTCGTGTTTATTTATAACATAATTAAGCACTTGAGGATATTCAAAAAAAATATCGAAAAATATACAATGGGTTCATATTGCAGATTCAAAGAACACAGGCTACATAAATGCAGTATTGACGTGATGCAATAATTAACTAACAAAACGCAAATAACCATCCATTCTGGCATTATGTAAAGAAATAACTTAACGGTTGCTGAGATATCAAAAGTTTCTGTTCTAGGGAATGCAATCTAGGTCAGGCGGTGTCAATCAATTGCCACTGTTCGTTGCGGTATGTGCTCCTCCGTGTTCTTGAACAATCGGTCAATTGCAGAGAACGTTCAAGTTTGACTGTCCGTCGAGTCATTTCCAATTACAAAGCAGAAGTTTTACGTCGGTTGCAGTCTGAAAAAAAGCGGACGTAATTAACGAGAAGTATGCCACCAAAAATATGACATGGTAATTGGCAAAGAAAAGAGTTCATGAAGTTTCGATTGAATTAGAATACACAAATTTCGAGTCTGAAACAAAATATATAAGACCTTTAAGCTCTTAGAATCCAAGAATCTGTAATGATTGACTCTTTTTAAATTTGAGTAAACTGGATCAATATCAATAGGTAAAAGTAATTTTTTTGTTCCGATGAGAAATATGAAAATTTAAATTCACTTTTGAAATTGGCATTCACGTTTTTCGAGACATTTACACGTTCGTAATAAGAGAGCTTAATTTGCCTTTTTTTAGCAAACGAAAATGAATTGAAATAGAAATCAAAAAATCAAATCAAGAAAAAAACTTATGCGTGAACAAATTTTCCAGGTTTTTCCTGAAAAAATGTAGCAAAAAATATAAGTATCAACACGACCTATATAAGTGTCTTCACTACGCTTATTGACACTTAAAAAGAGCGGCCTTGGCCCGGTGGGGTAAGGCGCACGTCTCTCAACATGATGATCGTGCGTTCGAATCCCTTTTGGGTAACGGTTGGAGGGCTCCCAGCATCATCCGCCTCCTCATGATGGGACCGGCTACGGCGAAATGGATGACATTCCCCTCACCCACGGATGGTTCTGCATTGAGCAGGACCGGGGGCTATATATATAAAAAAGAATATACTCTTAAAAATAAAAACCTCAAGGATCAATGAACTTCACTCCTTTCCGTTATCACAACAAACACTTGATGAAATTTGTTCTTGAGAAGTTTTTTCACATATTTGTTTTCACAGATGAAGTTCATTCACTTTTTTAGTCAAAACCAAAATATGTTGTCAAAACAATTGGATTTTGTGCAGGACAACTTGATTGTGAATTAGTTAGACAGAATTTCAGCACAAGAAAACGAAACTGCGTCCAGGGAAAACTTAGCTAACACCATATAGCTACAATATCGGAATTATTTCAAAATTACGATTACCTCGTCCGAAACTCAATACAGAAGCGAAGCTGCTCTATGTAAGCTCAACTCGAGCTCTAAAATGGCAAATATGGAAAAAATTGATCACTTGTCTATGGCTCCTCGATTAAAACTACTTACATAGTTTCTTCTTAGATATCAGGCAGCAAAGAAAGCGTTTTGATAACGCGGATATAGCTAAATCATTGTTCAGTTAAAACACCAACGCATGCACGAACATAAAAGTAGAGATATCGTATAGGGCTAAGTGAACTGATCGCATTTCCTCGCCAAAATCGTTATTTTCAAATTGGCTAGCGGATTAGAAAAATCGTTCATTAAGATGTGCAAGTATAAAAAAATATGAACTGGTTAGTTGGGCCGGTAAAAACTTGCATGGGTGAAAACCTTTCATTACAATACTTCGCCCTTAATCAAACATAACTTTCGCACCACTTGTGGGGCAACAAAACCATAAAAAAACATAAGAAGTCAAAAAAATGTAACAAGTTATGAAAAAAAAATTGGTCTACCAAAGCTTTAAATTTCTCGATAGAAATTCATCGCATAGAAAAACCCCACACACTTGAATATTAAATTAGCAATGGAACAAAACATGAAACGGGCAACTTAAGTTTTAAAAGTCCCACCTACAATGAACAACACTTGCACTTGCAGAAGAAAAATCAGTAATGTATCAACTAAGCCGACAATATTTGAGCAGACACCAGTTTAGACGAAAAAAATTGTTTTATGAAAAAAAAAGCTTTAACGAAACACAAAAGCATTAAAAAAATATTTTACCCTCGAAACTAAGCAACATAATTTGACTTCGATGAAATAATATCGCCGAAACCGTTTGATTGAAAAAAAAACTTCAAAAAAATTGCAAATTACAGAACTTTCAATCATAAGAAAACCTGTTTAAATAAAAGTAATGCCTATACTTTGGAAAGTAAGCCCAAAAAAAGGTACCAGATAGAACAAACTGCATTTAAAAAATTGGAAAACGAGCCGACGGAAACAATGACGAAAATGGAGAAAACAAAAAAATATTTTTTTTTCAAGAATTTTATTTTAAAAAAGCTATTACCTGAAAAGAACTTCCCCTAATTACTACCTAAATGATGGTAGTTTTATTTAAGTTTTCAAGAAATTGAGCATGTCAGCAGTCGTGAAATTGAAATTTAACATTCCTACTAAAATTTTGTAGGAGATAGTTGTTTACGGGAAGAAAAAGTCTAGTAGCCGATTGCAATACCCTTGCTTATCGCAAGGGTAAAAAGATTATGCAGAGCAGGCTGTTATATAATTAGCACAAAAAACGCCGACCATAATAATGTAAGATCGAAAAAAAAAAGAAAATGCCGAAGTTTTCAGATTTTTTGGTCTTATATCCATTTATTAATTTTGCGAAGGGTGATTGAATTAGATTTTCAAAGATAGTCAACTGACAGTTGGAAAAAAGAAACGAACGCAAAGAAACAGAAAAAAAATGACTGGTTTTTTAAAAAAAATCAGCCTTCAAATTTCGATGCCCTAAAGCTCTTTGAATTTCTAGAAAAACTTATGACTGACAAATTTTTCATCAAATTAACCCAATTTGAGAAACTTGGATGAATACGTGAAGAGTTAACTTTGCTGGGAAATCTGATAATTAAATTCCACTTTCGAAACTAGAAGTTGATCACGTTTTTTGTAGTCTTTACACTTTTGCTGTTCGATAGTGAGTTTGCCTTCCTTTTAACAATGGAAAAGCACTGAACATCAAAAAAAATCACAAGTCAAACCGCAAAAAATCAAAACTTAGCTTGAACAAATAAATTCTAAGTCTCTTTCCTGAAAAAAAAAATCACCAAGACTTATATAAGAGTCTTCACTAAGTTCATTACTCTTAAAAACAAGACATTTATTAATAGCTAGATGAAGATTAAAATTCTAGTTAAAAATATGTAGCAGGTCATCCTCCTATCAAAATTTAGTCTGAAAACAAACATAAACACAGAGGCGAAGTTGCTCTTGGCATACACTATGACCGATAATGCTACTGGGAAACACTGAATGAGTAAAACTTTGCAAGTTAGGGTTTAAAAAAACAGTAGAGTCCTAGAAATACACTTCTCTTGAGTGTAAAGACGTTTACTAGTGACTATTTTTTTCTGAAGTGATGGGATTCGAAAAATAATAATTTAGCCCATCTGCTGGACTAAATTACGCGCATTTTATATTCACATCTTTATTGCTCCATGCGAAAGAGGGGAACCAATCAGCACTCAAAAATATCAGTTCAGATTTAATTAAGGCGCTCTGATTTATCCAAAGTTTTCTCATTCAAGAAAAGGTTGAAACAAATTAAATGGCATTCGGAGCATACTAGGATTTCCGAATATCGCTTTTAAAACAAAGTGATTCAGCACTTAAAATTTAAATCTAAGGCACTCACACTTAAAAGTATGCTACTTATATATTGATAGCGTATCGTGGCCAATCACCTTGCATATTAAAGTTTCACTTAGCTTAAGTAAAAATTTAATGATTCGAGATAAACTTTTTGGATGAAATATTGGCTCATTCAAAAAAGTTTCTTTGAAAATTTTATTAGACTTGGTGATTACAGTTCTGATAGCTCTAATTGCTGCTTATATAATAATCTATTTTGGGAATAAGTCTCGTTATTTTTCTTTCTTGCGCTGTTTTCCCCTTGACTTAGTTCCCCTGCTCTTTGCCTTTGACCTCACTTCTTGACTAACATCCACCTCACTTTCAGGTGACTTCAGACTTTCTACCTGCCTTTTAACATGCTGTGATTTTGACTTCTTACTCTTGCTTCGCCTGGTAATAGGCTGCTCATACACTTGATTATCTACATCGTTTGCTGTATTTTCTAGAGCCTTTCTGCTACGTCTTGAATTAGGCTTAGGAGTCGACATTTCTCTTTCTTTTGGCGACATTACAGAATCATTCGGTGCAACATATTCTCCGGGATTGGTATAATAGTCAATTTGAATGTCTGGAGTTCCTTGACTCCGATCTTGATTAAGAGTTTCGCCTGCCAGTTCTTCTGGCACTTTTTCACTTTGTTTTTCAGTTCCCTTTTTGTCGCTTTTCTTGGTGTTTGACTTAGAACTTGCATTCTCGTTTTCCTTTCTGATAGCTTCTTTACCATTGAATTCTGAACTTGCCTTTTCAATTTCTTTTTTAGTGGTTTCTCTACCATTGGATTTGGAACTTGCTTTTTCAACTTCTTTTGGGCCTCTTTCCTTGTCCTTAGCGAGTGGATTCGAACTTGCTTTCTCGGTTTCTTTCTTGGTAGTTTCCTTAGTTTCTGACTTGGGAGTAGACTTCTCCGTTGCTTTCTGTTCGGCGTCATGGAAACTGTCGGCACTGTCAGCTACTTCTTCTTGTGGAGTTTGAGCTTGCTTAACTTTATACATGTCGTCTAGTTCTTGTGGCGCTCGAATTCTCTCCAGAGGTTCGTCTACCTCGAGACTACACACCAACTAGTTTACGCATTGCTATGTCGCTTACTAAATGTTTTACGTTGATTTAATTTAGTTGCCAGTAATGCCGTATAACGTTTTCAAAATTAATTTAATTTTGAAAAAAAATTGCTAGTAATGCCGTATAACCGAACTCTTGCGCTCTAACCATCACTTAAAGAAGTAGAGTCCCAGAGTTTTGAAACGCCTTTGACGGACCGTAGTGCTGATTTTAAATTTCCGACTTGATGACTCTAAATTTCTTTTAAATTACAATCGCAGAACAAATTGAAGATCAACGTAATCCGAACAACTGTGTACTGAAGTGCAAAACAAGAGATACTAAAAAAGGAGCACAAACCCTGCTTCCTCTTCTAATAGACATAGGAATGTGTTGACCCTGTCAGTTGGGCTCTGCTTGGCAGCCTCCGCCAACACAATCAACTTCTTGATGCCCACAAAACATGTGAGAGAGGCTACTTTCTTGTTTATCGTGGACAGTTCTTGCTCCGAGAAACAACCCATCTCCTGAAAGTCAAAAAATAACCTTAATAAGTTCTGAGTGTCAAACCTTACATGAATTTGAAGCTATATACAAGTAATCTTCAAAGTGTACATGCACTGCAAACTAAAAATTTCTCTTAAGGTTATTCTAATTTGTCCCCGTAAGTCTTTGATTATTTTTTCGCTTGGTCAGTTTGACTTTTTTCCGAGAAACGAAATTATTGTGACACTAATTTGCAGAAACAGAAACTGATCAAAACTAAGAGGCCGTTGAAATTGAGTTGTTTAATTGTCCTTACCGAGACTACTTTTATGATCTCAGGTCCCTTTGTAATATTGGACAGATGGAATGAGGAGTTGAATGCCGATAGGAGTCCCATGTCATCCAGGACATCCTTCCTACTTGTAGTCCCGACAACCAACAGTCTCTTGTCTTTCGGGGGCACTTTCTTCACCAGTGCGATGAGGGCTTGCAGGACCATGTTGCTGAACTTGCCCGGACACATCGGCACATAGTCTAAAACATCAGTTAAAGAGTCAAACTGCCTTGTTTTTTGAAAAAATCTTTAACTTTCGAATTTCAGAGAAAACAATAAATGGCCTTAATGCATGACTTTTTGATATAATGAATTCAATTTGAGCAAACTGGATCACTAGGTAAAGTGTTTATTCCACTGGGAAATTTGAAAATTAAAAATCGATAGTTCTTTGTCACCTTTACACTTTTGCTGTTCAATAATGTTTGCCTTCCTTTTAACAAAGGAAATGAATTGACCTCAGAAACCTAAAATCGAACCGGGAAAAATCAAGTTTTAGCGTAAGCAATTTTTCAGACTTACTCCTGAAAAAAGATTGCTACGTTCATCGACTCATATTAAAAACAACAAAAATTGGGCGACGGATTACAATGGGAGGAGCCTTCAGGAAAAAGTCAAACCCTTTTCAAGACTTCACGAAAAACTCCAATAAGCTATCAGTTATTGTGTCCAGATAAAATGACTCTGTTCGCGTCGAAAATGTAAGGTAAAGTGGTCTTACCAATTAATGATTCTATTTCGTCCACTACCACGACACTGAGCGTGGACTTGTAAGCGTCGAAAAATATCTGAAACAGCAGCAACATCAACATGCAACACTGCAGATAGACTGAAATTGATACTCAGCCAGCTGCTGTTGAGAAGCGCAGCTCTAGAGAAGCTCTTAAAATAAGAAGGGGTAATCCCTCATGCCAGAACAACCAAATGCTCGACAAATATTGAAACAAATGAAAAAAAAAATGACCCGCTTAACGGACATTCATTGGTTGAAAGCATTTGGTCCTTCTGTCATAAAAATAGTGCCCTTTAAACTACTGTTAATTGTTAGCTGTTATTGATAGTTTCTGGTGACAACTGACCTTTTTGATGGCATGACACTTAGCCAGCTCAGTCATTCCAATCATGTTGGCTGGGGAGATGATTTTGGCAAAGGGGAAGTCAGACTCTAAAGCCAGGTGTGCTGCCAGGGCAGTTTTTCCACAGTTCGGTGGTCCTGCAAGAAACAAATCACTAACATCAAAAAAAATAACATGAAATTCAAAAAAACTAATCTCAGTGCGAATACGGACACAGTATACTTTTCTTCACACTAATAATTCTCTATAATTAACTTCAATATGAATATCACTACAAAAATTTCAACGAGCTTAAAAACCCAATGCTAAAAATAGGAACATTTATTAGATTCATTGTGATTAATTCAGTTAATTGTTTTTGGTAATAAAGCATTTACAAATTTTCAAAAAAATTATAATCGCAAATCAAAATACATTAAAAAAAAAACAAAAAAAGCCGGTTGCCGCGCTCCAGTAGCGATGGTGCCCAGCAATCATATGATTGCTAGTTCAAATCGCACGAGCGTTGCAGTTTGCAAGGAGAGCTCTTGCAAGTAAGTTATAGCTGAAAGGCAAGTAACTTATAGCTGAAAGGGTGCTGGATATTTGCGCTCTGGTCAATTGAACTAATTAACCTTCGAGTTAGGTCTGATTGACTTAAAAAAACATAGCCAACAGAGTATTGGAAAAGCATCAATGAACGCAAGTAAACAAAAAAACAGACTTGAAGCTCTTCCAATTTCTAAAAAAAAAATCTGATTGACACTTTTTTGATAAAAGTAACCAAACTTGAAAAAAGCATCAATAGGTAAAAGTTTTGTAACACTGGGAAATCTGATAAATATATTCCAGTTTTGAAATAAGAAGTCGATCACGTACATTTGGGCCTGAACAAAATATAACACTTCTACTGAAAAAAAAAAGAAAAAACCATCGCGACCTATATAATAGTCTGAACAACATGGATAATTCTTTACTCCGTAGCTCATTGCTTACCACAATTGGGATAGAATTCAATGCATGCAAAAAATTGAAAAGCATGAAACCGAATTGTGCATAAATTATGAATTTCAAAGAAAAAGCCAAGTATGTTGTGTTATAAGACTTCTGAAATGGAGCCACCAAAAAAACGGCACTAATATTTACGACTTAGGTTGGATAAAAGCCTTGTAGTATCACACTACGCTATGCTCGCGTAATTACAAAAGATTTCATTTTCAGTTTTTGGGATAAATAGTTCTAGCTTCACCTAATAATTCTACATAAAGTTCTGCGTGGCTCTTTAAAAGGATGAATTATAGCTTGGCTTAACTTTCGTTGAATTTATTAACAAAACCAACAGATGATTGGAAAACCAAAAAATGAATTATATAAAATTTTCCAATCATCTGTTAGCTTTGTCAATAAATTTAATGAACGTTGAGCCATGCTCAAAAATCTGGGGAACGTTTCTCACTGATGAATACCCCCTTTTAAGTACGCGCAGAAATTAATTCATTTTTTTAAAGCGCCACGGAAAACTTTATCTAGAAGTCACAAAAGTTTTCAACCAAATTTTTTCAATTTCCTTTAATTCTGTAACATTTCTCCAATGAAAGAAATTGAAAAAAAAAATGATTTAAAGTTTTGAGACTGAATTTCGAAGAAAAATATATCACGTTCAAATTCGAGAAAAGTTTATGATTGGCACCTTTTTTCTAAAGCACAGAATGTTCCGAACATAGTCTCAAAAATACATAAAATACTTTTCTTTCCAATTAGTGTGGTTTATTTTCTGCGTGGTGTGATAGAAAGATCTGAACGAAAAAATAGTACTTAGGCAGATTCGACATTCATAGTAAAATAGTCTTATTGTAAAACAGCTTTTGAAAAAAAATTAACTAGAAAAACGAAAAAATTGCGCAAGAAAAATTCCAAAAACTAATTTTATTCGAGTAAAAACCAAGTTTTTATGGTTTAAATTAAGCAAAAAACTATTGTAAGCCTGCACACTCACCTTATTAGCTCGAAGTTAGACCAAAAAAAAAATTTCAAACTGGTTTTTTCTTGACAATTTTTTTCAAGTGTTGCAGTTTTTTTTGAATTTTGAAAATTTAGATTCCGAAAAGGCGCTAAAATAGTCAAAGTAAACTGACGTTACTCAAGCAAAATTAAGTTTATGCGTTTTAAACCAAGCTATTATAAGCTTTTAGCTGTTAAATTAAGCCTGCTCGCTCGCTTTATTCGCTCGAAATTAGGCCAAAATTCAAAAATTTCAAACCGGTTTTTCTCGACACATTTTGTAAGGCCGCTCGAATCACAAATAACAGGGCTTTAAAATTATAGATCATTCAACCCAGCCCGATAGTTGTTGTTGGCACCTAATTTTCTCAATTTTTGAATTTCAAAGAAAAAAACCATGAACAAAAAAATGCGCATGAAGCTCTCTGAGTTTCTATACACAAAGGCGAAGCTATACTTTGCAAACACAAGCCAGAGCACGACAAAAAGCAGCTCTATAAAGTTCAAAAAAAAAGTAGAAATAAGCCTCGAATTAGTAAAAGTTCGGCTAGTTCTCGGATTCGATCTGCGATCTACTGAAACCTAGAGAATATGAGTCTTACGCACTAACCACTCAACCACTGACGCCTAACAAATCACAAATACTTGCCACAAATAAAGCAGAGAACGGATGCTACGAAATCACCAAGACTACAGTGTGTGATTGCAGCAAAAACGAACACAAAATAGTGAACACTTTTATTTGCGAGTCAGGCTAGAAAAAAGAAGGTTCGCACTAAAACACTGCGCTGCTTGCTAGTGTAAATAAATTATGATTTGCACTTTCGAAAAAATTAACCGAATTTGAGAAAACTGGATCAATAGGTAAGCTTTGTTTCGCTGGGAAATCTGATAAATAAATTTTAGTTTCGAAATAAGAAATCGATCACGTTTTTGGTGACCTTCACACTTTCGCTGTTTGATAATAGAGTGTGCCTTCTTTTTAACAAATGAATTGAACTCAACTTAAAAAGAAATCAAAAGTAAAAAAAGCGAAAAGCAAATTTGAGCTTGAACAAGTTTTAAGACTTTTCCTGAAAAGAAAAACAAAAAAAAACATCGCAACCTATCTAAGAGTCTGAACTACATAGACTACTAAAAATCCTCAAATTATCAAACTGTGCAAAGTTCTTAATTCCGTAGCTCATTGATTACCACAATTGGTAGAATCAGTTCATACACAGAATACCACTACCAATTGTTCAAAAAAAAACGATCAATATCTACAAAAACAAGGGCTTAGTAGCTTATGCAAGTGAGATCATAACAGGTTCTCTTGATTGAATCTGAATTCTAGATTTGGTAAGGTACTTCTAAAAGAATTCGAAAAAAAAATTAAAATTTTTCAAGATTTTCATCGCGACCAATATAAGAGTCTGAACTATGTTCATCGACTCTTAAAAAAAACAAAAACACACACCCAAATACAAAGTTCTTCCTCATTTTTCTAATGGTCGGAACAAAATAAGATCAACTGTTATTGTTTCATTCCGCGGAGCATTCAGAAATTCGGTTCCATTTTTTGAAAGTAGGAGTCATTGATAGAAGTCATTGAAAGTAGGAGTCATTCCCAACAAGTATTTTAAAAAATTATCGAACAACTTGAATCACATACCCGCCATTTACTGAGTGGCAGACCTGATCATCATTTCTGAAAAATCTCTGACTTGCCTTCAATTAAGAATGACACAATTGGCGTCATCTCCGACTGTCTGGTTTGTTTGATCATCAGCCGGCCATCCTCCATCACTCTATCCACACTCTGACCCCACTGGATTATGCCATTCGGAATGGACTCCTTCAGGGTGTCTGTATTGTAGCCAAAAGCTGGCTTGATGTCATTCTCCAGAGCCATCATGAAGTCGTCTCTGCAGATCTTGATCTTATCAGCCGCGTCTGCATCTAGTTCTATTTTGCCATTCTTATTACCACCAGAGTCCTAAGAAACGACGACTGATATAATTAAGATTCACGACTTTCAAGATACTTCAAAGCTGCTCTCTGAGCATTTAAAACAGCTTTCTCTGAGCATGTAAATTAGGTCCAAGCATCGTCCAAAGATGATTCTAGACTTACCTTCTTTTTGTTTTCTTTCTCTTGCAAGGCGCCAACTCCGCCCTAAAAAGAAGCAATGGGTCATCATTATCATGTTCAAAAATCATAACGAAAATCAATTTCCAATTCCCAAACAGGACCTTCATCGACACATTTCGCCAATTAAACTTCTCAAACCTTAATTAGTCTGTTCAGTGCTGTAGCCTGTGCCGCTCGCACCAAACCCTCAATCTCAGCTCCAGAGAAGTTCTTAGTCAGGGCGGCTAGTTCTTTCGTGTCTACATCATCTGCCAACTTTTGGAAATCGCGCATTCTCTGCACATATATCTCGAATATCTGGTGTCTTCCTTTCTCATCTGGGAGAGAGATTTCTGTTTGCACTTCCAATCTGCCAGGTCGCAAGAGGGCGTCGTCGATGAGGTCCTTTCTGCAACATTTGATAACCAATAGGGGCCCCAGCTAAAACTGGAGGTAAATGTTTAATATTTTTGAATTTTTGTACTGGTGCAAGATGACATGGTTAATTTCAAAATTTGGGCTTCACTCAAAATCTTAGTTGTTTCTCTAATAAAAATAAGGAGTGAATTTTTTGAGAATTTGGAATTTTCCCAGGGTTATAACATTTTGCTAACAAATTTTAAGGCCTAGCCGCTTATGCGCTGAGGCTTTCCACAATCTGTTGCCCTGATCAAACCCTTGATATCAAAGTTGGTCGGTTAGTTTTCGAGAAGTCAAAAAGTTTAAAAAACGGTTGAAGAATCAAATGATTGATTTTTCTGAGAGCCATAACTTTTTGTGGAACGAATTGGTCATAGCCGCTTACGCAGAGTAGCTTCACACAACCTATTCTTCCATTGAAACCAAAAACTAAGATTCGGGAGCAATGATGTCCATTTAAATTGAAAATTAAATTAAATTGTTTAAGAAAATTACAAAAATTGTTAGCATCAATTTAAATTTTTCGGAAACTATTAAAATTTTTCTTTAGAAATCTAAATTTTTCTTCAGCCTGTTTTTTTAGCAATTTTTCTGCCAATTTTGGGGATTTTTCGAAGTTTTGTGAAAAGAATTCCATAGCAATTTTTTGGGGCATATCTATTTGCTAAAAAATTCATCAAATTTGTCGTGAAAAATTACATTGTTTGCCTTTCCGCGAAACTGTAAAATTAAGTATCACGAGTGAACTCTGTAATTTGGCAACGGATCGAATACCGCCGGGGTAATTTAATTTTTTTTTCAATGTAAATTGCATGGTTTAAATTAAAACTTTTCATTTAAATTGAGTGTGCTATAATTTCACATTTAAACAAATTGAAATTTAAATGAGAATTTATTTTGATTCAAATTGTTTTTTAAATGAACATCACTGTTCGGGAGGATAGTTTTCGAGAAAAATCAAAACGTTATAAAAATATGTGGCTTTTTTCAAACGATAAATTTTTGTGCAGAAAAATTTGAGAATCGCCGCTAATAAATGAAAACTTCCCACAACCCGTTATCTTCATTGAACCCAAAATCTCCGAATTGGGAGAGTGGTTTTCGAGAAAAGTCAAAAAAGTTTCAAACACGGTCAAAAATCAGAGATTTGAATTTACCGAAGGCCATCACTTTTTGTGGTAGGAGACTGGGCGTATATAAAGGCACACAGTGGAGTGTGGGCAGTCTTTTCAAGGACGTTGCTTTTGAGAAAAACTAATTTTTTTGAGAACAGAATTTTCCAAAGCGTCTAAAAAAACCCAATCCCATACATTTTCATAATACCTGTTTTAACAGGAATTCAACTACTTTACACACAAACAAAACACCGCCTTCCGTAACCTTTCTAATTAAGCAGGATCAGATTCCATGATTTCAGTAGGTTGAGCGTAAAACAGTTGTTCATCAAATAAGAACTTTGTGATCATTTCAACTATCAGCATTAAGAAGGCATTCGCTTCTTACCTGTTGGTCATGCCTATGACGAGTATGTTGTTAAGTTGGTTGACTCCGTCCATCTTGCTCAGCAGCTGGTTCACCACAGTGTCATGCACCCCAGTGCCTCCCCCTGTGGACCCCCTCTCCTTGCAGATGGCGTCTATCTCGTCGAAGATGATGATGTGCAGACCACTGTTGATCCCACACTGCAACAATCACATAGTCACAATCACAATTAGATGTACAAGTCTGATAGTTAGACAGGGTGTGTAAAAGTTAGATGGGTCCATGAAAAATTCGTGTGATTCAAACCTTTGGAAACCGTTTTCAGGGACACAACTATCATACTCAGGGGCGGATCTAGGATTTTCTCGGGGGGGGGGGGGGGGGGGGGGGATTGCGAAATTTTCAAAAAAAAAATCGAAATTTTTGTCGACCTTTTTTAGGTCCACCAAATTGATTTTCTGAGCTCTCCCAAAGCACTACAAAGACCCTGTTTTTGCCAAAATTTCTGCGCCGCAGGCAAAATTTAAAAAAAAACAGGCCAAACGTTGTTTTTAGGCATTTTTTGGAAAATGTTGACCAAAAATCGCGTTTTTTCGGCGCGCGCTCCTCCCTGAAAATTAGTATGTATTGGCGCCAAAGGCACCTTTAGAAAAATTTAAGGGTCAGTCAGCCAAAAATGGATATCTCAAAATAGTTCAAAGGGGGAGGGACCCTTTGGGTCGGCATGGGGTCGAATCCCTGAGGGGGGGGGGGGGGGGGGAAGGGGCGTCTGCCTCCCCGCCATCAACCCTCTAAATCTGCCCCTGATCATACTTGTACCCATGTAACATCATCACCACAGTTATCACCATACACCTTTTTGTTGGTCCAAGTTATCATTAAGGCCAATTCTATTTTTGGCACACAATGAATTTTTTGGCAAAAATGTTCGACAATTTTTTGAAAAGCCGCCCCCTCCCCTGGAGAAAATCCTAGATCCGCACCTGATCAACAGATTACAAAACAGCATCCAGTTTTGAACACGAAAGTGCAGTACGTATCCTGTTAGTTTTGTGGGATCCCTCTATTACACTTTACCAAATCTTCGAAAACATCGTTCGCAGCTGTTTACTTGTGTTTTTGAAGTTTTCACTAAAATTGCGGGACCCATCTATCATACTTGCTTTTTCCTGGGATATGTATCCCAAATATCATACTTGTACCAAGAAACTAATTGGGTCCCTATAAAGTAAATAAAGTTGCCTCAAAATTTTCCAATTTATTAGTCCAATTTATTGCTTCGGTGATGTCAAGTAAGTTGCAAATGATGCGGGTTAATTACGTTTGAGGAAAGAGTTTTGAAACGACCGAACGGCGCATAGTGGTTGAGTTAATTGCGGTATTTGCCTAAAATTAGTGTGATTTGGGACCCCTCTCCCTCCCACCCTTGGTTTTTACTGACCCCTCTTTCTATCACTCTTGTACCCCGTCCCTGAATATTGCCTATCTTGATCTTAATAAAAACCTAAAGCGCGTTTTATTATGCGCTGAAATCATCCGCGGAAATTGGAGAATAAAAACTCGGAGTTCAAATTGGAGAATAAAAACTCGGAGTTAAGATCCGAGTTCAAATCTCGGTAGGCCACATCGTTATTGGAAATAAAAACTCAGGTCCTACCGAGATTTGAACTCGGATCTTTGGATTCAAAGTCCAAGGTGCTAACCATTACACCATAGGACCCATGATATAGCATAATGGTCCGTCTATATAACCAACGCAGCATTAAGCAAGTTTTATCTAAACGCGTTGTCTGCTTGTTGTAATTTCTTTTGAGCGTTGTGCGTTCGTTGCAGTTGTTGAGTGTAATTCCTTTCAATGAGCGAACGAACTAAAAACACATTATAAAGCACTAAAAATGTTCTTTCTCTTACTCGTTTCTGTTCCTCCTCGGCGTCTTCGAACAGTTTGCGGACATTCTCCTCGCTCTGACCGACGAACTTGTTCAGAATCTCTGGTCCATTGATGATCTTGGGCTCCCTAGCATTCAACATTTTGCCGATCTGACGTGCCATCAGTGTCTTACCAGTCCCTAAACAAGCAAAATTAATCAGAGTAAAAAAGCAAAGTATACAAATTTTGGATCAGATCACTTCAATTAATTATAATTCCCCCTATGGTACCTAATAACGGATCTCCTAGAAATAATTCAACGGTTAAGCATATGAGAAATGAGTACCTAGTAGCCAATCTCCCCCTTTTTGCAAAAGGGGCAAGGGGGGATAGTTAGAGATATCAAATTTTGAATGAGGGTACCAAAAAGAAAAGACCCAAAAACTTTTAACAGGAAGATTAGTAGATACCATGGGGGGAGGGGGGGGGGGGGGAGGGGTAATTGTTAAGTAGATTCGTTTTTGTCTTTGACCGTCAGATATTAATGCCAGCCTGGGCCCGGTGATTGACACGTTCTGTTCTCTAATAGGTTGTTCTGTATTACTCATCCATACTGTCAACACATAGACTACATTAACCGCGAAGCGACAATTCTTCGCGGACAACATTTGGTCGCAGATGACAATTGGTAGCATTCCAAGAAACGACAACTAGTCGCAGTCGCAGAGCAATTTATCATTATAATTATCACCTCTGCAACGAATTGCTGCCGCAACACCCTGTACACTACCCACCTGGTGGTCCAAACAATAGGATGCCTCTGACGTGTTTGTGTCCCAATTGTTGGACCACATCAGGAGGGAACACTCTGGATGCGAATGCCCTTCTGAAGATGGCACTGAACTCGTCATCCAGTCCCCCTATGCCCATCTTCTGGAAGTCCCAGTCCGGGTTGATTATCGAGGTGTGCTGACTGGCCTACAGCACAGCAACGGCAAACATACATGGCAAAATTAAATTTTTAGACCAGTTATTCAGAAGTCAATTGACGACAATACGAGATCATTTTCAGCACTTCAACAAGAAACGCTGTTTATTACCTAATTACCTAGTCAAAAACGAAATACATTTTAAAAATTGTTTTAAGTACATGTTTTAACATTTCGCGAATGTATTGCCAACAGTTTCTGCAAAATATGAATCAATAAACTTTGAGCAACCCCGCTAATTGTAGATAGCTGCTCAAAACTATTGATCGTTAAGCTAAATTTTCTTAATTAAGAGAAAAATTATAGACAGAACACGCAAGTACTCAATTGTAAAAAGCTGCAAATTTTCATCAACTCACCTTTCCCTTGCTCTTGCCTGTGAGCATGATGGAGGAACCGTCAGCTCGGTCGAATGTTGCCACTGCATTGCTCATGAACAGACCTCGCTCCAGCGGCTTCGGTTTGGACAGGGTCTTCAAAAACGATTTCGCTCCCCCACCTAGAAAGCACAAATTGGCTCGAAACTACTGACTCTTATGGGATATTTTTCTACTAAACAGGAACCTTTATACTTCGGCGTTTTCACGGCCTGCATTAGTTTTTTTTGTCCAAATAATATTTTTCATACTTGTTCATCATCATGACTGCTCATCATTTACTTGTCTTTTCTGTTTTATTTGCAATAGTAACTGTAAGTTCTTGCTCTCACCACTGAGTTCCGTCACTGTGAGCAGGAGTTTGCTTTCGTTGAACTTGAAGAAGATTGTCTGGCCCGGCTGCATGGCCTGATTCTGGAACTGCATGCAGAATTCATGTGACATCTTGTCCGTGTCAAACGGAATGTCCGGCTGTGCCCTAAAATCATACCACACAACAATACGCAACTAACAAAAATATACTAATTTCTGATAAAAAACAACTCGCAGGAGTTTTACCCCATTATAGTCTCCAGGCAAAATATAGCTCCCCATAGAAAATCACAGAGAGGACTATAATTTCTGTTACTGAGCTGGTGGGCAAAATGAGAAAGACCGCAGATTTGAACGTTGAAATTGAATATACATATTTTAAATTTCCATTTTTTGAACACTCAACTAGAGGATGTTTCACTGACGTTTTCTTGGAGATGAAGTCGGCCTTGAGGGAGATGGATGTGATGTAATCATTCTGCTCGAACTTGTACACCTCCACCTCCACCCGCTGTCCAGCACCCAGACCCGCAAACTGCCTCTAAACAACAAAAATATCTTGCCGACTCAAGAATTCTGCTAATCAAAAAAATGCTCTAGGTTTTTTCACAATAAATGAAATCGTTAATTTATCGGATTGGACTGAACAGCCTGTGTCTTATTTTCTTCCTTTTTTAGTGAATATTTTTCGGAAACTAGCTTGGCTTCAAGTACGTCTCATATCTAACCTGTCCAGTGTTGAAGCAGATGGCTCCTCTGAGCACCTCCTGCATTCGTTGGATGGAGAAGACGTGGAACATGCGTCCACTCTCACCTGTCACCTTCACATGTCTAGAACATAATGAAACAATTGACCTGATGAGACCGACATTTTATCAGACCACGAAGCAAGAAACCAACAGAAAGGCTAAATGAAAACGCGTCTCACCCGCAATTTGGGAGTGGAATTGTACAGTTGATCCTAAATTTCACTTCATTATTTTCGTTTTTTCTGAAGATAATTTTTGGCCCAATTTTTACGATTCGGCTCAAGTCCCAACGGCTTGATAAACTTTATGGTGGTATATAAACCAGTCGAAGTATAAACCTAATAGGAAAGATTGAAAACAATTATTTATTTATTCCCAAATGAATTGCAATTGTAGATTTCGGGGATATCTTCTCAAGTGGTCCTTTGGCAGTGAATTCAGCAGGGCGACCTGAGATTCACTACTATCTACAATCCCGAAAAGGTTACTTTGGAGGCAATTATTTTGCACTGCTCTAAGTTGCTCGCCACTTCTGTGCATTGCTCTTAGGGCTGTCTCGTCAATACAATCGGTATGATCTCCAATTGTAAATTACTTCAAATGAATATACGTCTAATTACAGAAGGCTCTGAATGGCCACGATATAATCTATCAGTCTAACCCAAAGGAAAGGGTCTGCAATTATTTAGCGCAATTGCTTGATTGCAAAGTAACTTCCATTAATTTCACTAACACCTAACTATTCTCCCTATTCTCTCTCTAGAGAATCTGATGAGAACAAACTATCTACGGTTTCTGCTATAATTAATCTCTTACTCCGAGAACCACCTACTCGATTCGCTGGCAAAAATTGTTCAAACTCTTACAGGCTCTCCGGTAGCCTCCAATTCCTTATCTTTCTCTGCACTTAGTTTTAGTATAGTCACCCCATTCCCTATCAGTCCTGACATCCGCTTAAATCACCCGTCCGCACATGTTTTAAGACTATATTCCTCCCTCTGCCACGTGCCAAGTTCGATTTATTTTATCACTCAACCTCCAAACCATGCTATGTTTTCTCAGTGACCCTCCCAATGTCTTTATTTTAATTATCCCGTTAACGTTCCGACCTCCCAAGGGTAGGGGAGACCCTTTTCATGGGTAGCTAATTCATTTCGAGCATCTAAAATTTCTATCTGTTCTCTATTCCAATCCCGACCTTCTAGCTATCAAGGGAACGTAGTTCGTCTATCAGGGGTCAAATCGAACCGAAAAGTCACCTCCGGGAAGCCAAGTAAAGACCCCGTCCGTTCATACTGTTTACGAGACTTAATTATTATGCTGCGGTCCTATTACTATCAATTTCCTCTGGGACTACTTTTCTTTAGTCTAGTTGAATTGCTACTATTAGATCACTCGCCAAGCTACACTTACCCCCAAAGTTTACCAAGTCCACTTAGAATTAACTCTACTACCTCAAGGTTGCAATATAAAACTATATCTCTATCAGCTTCTGCTCTTATTCTCAATATAGAAGTTTCCTCTCAACTTTTTTAGCAAGGTGACCCATTCTCATTTCCAGGGGTTACGCAGGGGAATACGCCACTTTACGGTGTTAATCTCGGGGTTTTCTACGCATTTTTGAGGTCAAATGTCAACTTGAGGTCACCCAGGGATCAACCGGAGTCAAACTTCCATATTTGGGTTCAGAATCTTATGGGGATCCTAAGTAACAAGTTCCATCCATATCCCATTAACACTTCACTCGTCATCCCATTTCTAAGGTCCATTATCACTTTTCCGGAAAAAGGCTATTACCACCGGAAGGAGTCGCCGGAGGGTTTTCACTCATTAAGGTTTTTTTTTCGAGGTTCGTATCTTATGTCGATTGCTGTAATAAAATCATTATGCCACCGTTCCTTATTTTGCGTTAATTTCCTATTTCCGGTCTAAAGGGGTGTTTTCTCAAGTGCTGATAGCTTCCGATCCACCCGTTGGCAAAGGTTCAAATTAAAACACAAGATGTATCTTGCCATTACCTATCATCCCTCCAAGTTTCAGCTGCCTGTGATCATCGAAGGCCGAGAAACGACTTAAGGAAGTTGAGGGTGGGTTTGTTTACTTAAGGCATAAAACCGGAAGTGGGGTTCCTAGGGGTCTGGGGTTCCAAAATTAAGCTTCCCTCAACTAGTTCTACAACATACTAAAATTTGAGTCCAATACCGCCGCTAGTTTCCGAGTTCTGATAGGGCCATTTACACTTCCGGGGACCGTTATCATTTGCCCCCCAAGGGTTTGAGGGGTCCCGTTTTTCGTATGCCCGCGTCAAATCATCTCTAGTATCGCTCCTCTGAATTTCATAATATTCGCTTTCTTATTTCCGATTTTGTGTGGGGAGGGGGGGGGGGGGGGTGTTCGCCGGTTTAGTCAAAGTTTCTTTTCTGGCTTATACCACACTTGATCTATTTAAGCGTGACTCATTGTTTACCTATCTACTTATCTTATCGAATATCCACTTAAACTACACATGCTGACGGGTAAACCCCATAAATCTACACGGCTGCAAGCCAGTTAATCAAGCAGCAACGGGAACAGTCATCTCGTTATCAATCTTTTTATTTATCCCCTTTCAATCCCGGGAAATCCCTTCTTAACCGAGGAATTGTTGAAACCGACCCACATGTACTCGCCCAGCTGCTTGGGGTTATTTTTACGAATACCGCGCTGAACAAGACCCCCCGCCCCCAGATGGTTATATGTAGCGGGAAATAACCACGGTCGGGACGGGATGGCTCCGAAGCCTTTTATTTTTATTATCGTACCCAAACCGAGGGACCTCAGCAGGGTGGAGACCAATCGGCCCTTATCGCAGGAATGAGACCAAGAGCTGCTTAGGTAAGCCTAGAGTTTCATATTCTACAGCAATTAATTTTTTCTCAATGATTTTTGCCACATCCTACTTGTCTTTCTCGAGGAAGTCTTCGGCGTTGACTGCGACCAGATTGGTGAAGGGGAAGTCGGGGTAATTGGCTGGCGCCTTGTCCACCGCCAACTGCACCATCTCTCTCCCCTCTCAGATCTCCAAATAAATCACTTCAGTCAGTCGCTTTCTTTCCTTTTCCTTTTGCCGCCTCTTCTTTTCAGGCCAATATTGGTTTGTTCGATCGCTGGCTGACTTCCAACACACGAGTACGAATGACTTGATGATTTGCAACACCGGAAGGATGCTTTAACTTGTCTCGGTTACTGTTGGTCTAGACTTGTCTATGGGTCCACGTCACTGCCACACACGCACACAGGAAGAGCGTCAGGTTGTTTTTAGTTCAATTCGTCGTGTTTAGTGCAGCATTTTGTCACATTCATTAACTGAAACAGAACAAGACACCGTTTAAAATAGAGTGGATTCCAAGCTCATCAAGCATCGGTGGTTCAGTGGTAGAATTGTCGCCTGCCACGCGATAGACCCGGGTTCGATTCCCGGCCGATGCAATAATATTAATTATTAGCTTCTTAAACCAATTTTGCCCATTCAAAACTTTTTTTCAGGCGCAATCAGCCTACCTCATATGCGCTAACTATATCAAAATTGGTACAAGTATGGGCTCTTTTCCAGTTCCCCCCTTGCAAATTCAATTATGAAAAGTCTATTCAACGTTGTCATAATGCAATGAAATTTTGGCGTGGTGAACACAAATCGACAACGGTGAACTGATTTGTTCTTCATACTTTACAGCGTAACATCACGCATTTAGCCGTAATAACACGTACAACAAACATAAAACTCGGTATTTTGAAAGGGGGGAACTGGAAAATGGAAAAGAGCCCAAGTATGATAGTTGGGTCCCTTAAATTTAGATGGGTACTACTATGTGGTCCCTTGAGAATAAGACACCTAAGAGCTCGCATGTTATAATTATGAAAACTAATTTGTGTATAAATTATTCATTTCAAAAATCTTGCAAAATTTGTTCAGCTGTTCACGCTGACACGTTTTAATGCAGTTCATAACATTAAAAATTATTTTTAAAAGACTTTCATGTAATGAATTTCAGAAAAAATGAAAGGGGGGGAACTGGAAAAGAGCCCTAATTCTGCTTTCCGAACCGCCAATTACCAATATAAATGGCTGCGATTGTAATATATTCGATAACAGATTTTGCATATTGTGCCGGGCCATCAACATTGTAGTGCTCACTTTAGAACCGCAAAATGTTCTCCAATGTTTTATGTAACATACATGTTTCGAACATTAACAATAAGTCAACCCATGTTGCTCTTATTCTGTGCTGTGACCGAATATTTATATTTATCAAGCAACACTGTATAATTTGATTTAGATAATGCACAGCTCAAACTATCTCATGGTCCTATGGTGTAATGGTTAGCACCTTGGACTCTGAATCCAAAGATCCGAGTTCAAATCTCGGTAGGACCTCATTTTTCATTTTCTCTACCTTCGATAAAAGTTAAATTTGAATATCAACAAGACAAGTTTTCTTTTCAACCTTTTTCTTTCACTCACTCGTAATAACTAAATTTTTCTGTGCTAAAAAGGATGTATCTTGGTGACCAATTTAGAACCAAGGATGTTACCTTGGTTCTAGGTTGGAATTTGCAATTTCAACTTGGCTCTTTTCCACTTGGAACAAAAATTGGCTCTTTTCCAGTTCCCCCGTTTCAAAATACCGAGTTTTATATTTGTCTTACATGTTATTACGGCTAAATGCGTGATGTTACGCTGTAAAGTATGAAGAACAAATCTGTTCACTGTTGTCGATTTGTTCACCACGCCAAATTTCATTGCATTAAAAGGTGGGACTGGAAAAGAGCCGCAAATTTAATTCAAATTAATTGCTGGGTGGAGGATCTTAACTTGGTGAGGAGGATGTTAACGTGATTCGAGTTTTTTATCTTACCCAATTTTTAGACGATTAAGTTAGGAAATTCCCTCAGTAAATATAATAATCGAATACATCTAGTTGGGTTACATGTCAGTATTTAGACAGCCGCGTATTCATACTGGTCAGTATTTAGACAAATACTGTTTCAACCAATCAGAATCGAGACAAAGAAGAAATTAATAAATAATTATTATTTATTTTGGATTATTTATGTTTTTTCTCGATTCTGATTGGTTGAAACAGTATTTGTCTAAATACTGACCAGTATGAATACGCGGCTGTCTAAATACTGGCCGCACTCCATCTAGTTGTGCGGTCAAAAACGAAATTCCAATTAGAGTTCTGCAACCAAATTTCATTCAATTAAAAACTATTTACAAATCTTGTTAAACAATAAACGGTTAAAATATTATTGAAAATCGAACATTAACAAATAAAAATGCGTTTGGAATAACTGAAGATCTGCGATCTGACTAGAATGGAGGATAACTTGGCGGGAATCTGACCAAAAGGGTTGAATTATCAACCCTGTCCACTACATGAGTCCAGTTGAGCTGTTTGAAAGCTGCTTTCAGATTGTTCAGAGCAGCTTTTGTGTTTGTGTTTTCGTATTCCTGCATCAGCTTTGAAGCCACCAATCCATATAGCTTCCTGTGCCTGCAGTATTTGAGAGCTAGTTGGGAAGTTTTCGTGTCAGTCATGGGATCTGTCAGCTTCTTCAGTGTTTTCCAGCTTTGTTCCACTTTTTCTTCAGGGACAGGGGACATGTCCAACAAGGCGGTACACTTCTTTTGCAGAAGATCAATCATCTGTAAGACAAAGCAACTAATTTTCAGTGGCAGAAATGCACCTCAACGCCCAGATTAAATATATAACAAATTAAAACATAGCCAACGGCAACAGACAGTTGAAATAGCTGGTCTTTCTGTTACGCGGCCCAAAATTATCAAAACTTTGAATGAGAACATATTTGGAATTAAGCTTCAGCTTTCCTTCGCTTTTGTTAATTTCATCCAATAATGTCATCCAATCTTTTGTTAATTTTACCCTTTTCAACACAAAGACGAAGTTGCGCTTCGCAAACACAAGCGAGGAAAACGCAAAAAAGAGCTCAAAACAAGTTAAAATAAGGAAAAAATTAAAAATTCACCTCGAAAAAAAAGTTCGTTAAGATTGAGAAAATCATGTTCTCACAACTGCTCTACTACCGCTTGTAATTTTACTAACACTAGGTAGCAATAAAGCAGCTAGAAGTTCTATCAAACTGCCAATGTTAAGCAGCAAAAATTCGATCAAAAAACTATTTAAATAATCCGGATTTGAATAACCGAACTGTTGATTAGGAGTCTTATGTCCTCGCATCTGCACCATTGTAGCTTGAAAGTAAACTAGTAGCCCACTTAATGCTGGATCTACATGTTCGTTCTGACACGGAAATGTGTAATTTTTTCAATGTTAATTTAAAAAAATGGGTTTTACGCTAAAGCCTTGTGTTTCTCTGCCGAAGAAGGGGATTAACAGCTTATATAAAGGCAACGACTACTACTGTCTCTTTCAATTGGAGTCTTCACCTCAGATTTGGCTGGGTAGTTTAAAAAAAACAAGATCAAAAAAATCTATCAAAATTCAAATGTTTGACTTTTCCTAAATCCACTTTTTCTCTACTAAAACATGAGAATAGCCTCAGCTGTCCACACCCTAATTTTTAGATAGAAGATTTCCGCATCCATGTTTTAGGATTGAACCCTTAAATTCAGATTCAGCTAGTAATTTTTGGTAATGGTGACGAAATTTCTATAAAAAAGGTAAAAACTTGAAAGGAAACTTCAGAAGACCATATCAGCTTTTCTAACAAAAACAGGGTAAAAAAATTACGCAGGGAAAATCTAAGCACCATGTCAGTTTTAATGAACACCCAATCTCAAAATTAGCATGATAGTTTTTTTTTAAAAAAGAATAACTTTTCAAAAAATGGTTAAATTTCAAAACAGGGCACAGTCACTTGCACAGGTAAGAATTGCATAACTTATTTTTTTCTTTCGGTTGAACTTTTGATCTCCGACTTGGCCAGGTAGTTTTTAAAAAAAAGGTTTTAAAAACTAGCCAAAATGCCAAAAAATTGTCTTAATTGAGGCTATAACTTTTTTCTACCAAATTTAGAGAACAGCCGCTTGAGAGGAAGAGATGCCCATAATTTGTCATTTTGATTGAAACCTTCATCTCACAGATTTGTGCATTTAATAATTGAAAAAAGAAAACAAATATCAAAATAAAATCGCCGAAATGTTCGAAAGCCGTAGAACGTAAGGTAAAGAAAAAAGACTTGCAAAATATGCAAGCAGAGGAGAGCAGCAGGTTTTTTCATACGTATTACTTTTTTGAAAATCGGCAGTAGTTCAAGAGAAAAACTGAAATTTTTGCGAAAAAAGCAAAATATTTTCTAAGTGTCGCAAAAAAAAAACAACGAATCCAATACATTTTCATGATAGATGTTAATTTCAGATAGAAGCTTTCACTAGCCAAAAAAGCAGCAATATATGCCATTAAATTGTTTATAATTAAATTAGCTAAAGTATGATTAAATTGAAACATACCAAAAGGGCACCAAATGAGCACTTTTATTTGCGACTTAGGTTAGAAAAAAAAACTTCTTTGTAATAATACACTACACTTGGCCTGTGTAAAAACCTAAAGATGAATTTTGGGTCCGTATATCAGAAAAGACCCGAAATAGCGCGAATAAACAAGAAAGATCAGTGGTGATAAATTCAAAACATGGCATTGGTAAATAGCCTTCCCTCGCTCGGTTTAAATTATTTGACATTTATTTCCCTGCAAGTTGTCGCGTGTTACAAAAAAAATCAATTCATAAATAATTTTTTCTATTTCTGATGAAAAATTTCTAATATAAAATACATCAGCGTACTTTCGATAATAACTTCAAAATGTGGCACTGGGAAGAAGCTATCCCTCGCTCCGTTTAAATTATTCGAGTTGTATTTCGTTGCGAGTTGCCGCGTATTACGGAAAGATCAATTTATAAATAATTTTTTCTATTTCTCATAAAACTTTCAAGAATAAAATATTTCAGCGTACTTTCAATAATTACTTCAAAAAGTGGCACTGGCAAATAGCTATGCATCGCTCCGTTTAAATTATTCGAATTGTATTACGTTGCGAGTTGTCGCGTACTACGAAAAGATCAATTCATAAATCATTTTTTCTATTTCAAATCAAATACATCAACGTACAGCTATCTCATTTTCGTCATAAAAAATTGGGAAAAACTGTTAATTCTTAAGTGTTTTCCAGCTTTGTTCCACTTTTTCTTCAGGGACAGGGGACATGTCCAACGAGGCGGTACACTTCTTTTGCAGAAGATCAATCATCTGTAAGACAAAGCAACTAATTTTCAGTGGCAGAAATGCACCTCAACGCCCAGATTACATATATTACAAATTAAAACATAGCCAACGGCAACAGACAGTTGAAATAGCTGGTCTTTTCTGTTACGCGGCCCAAACTTATCAAAACTTTGAATGAGAACATATTTGGAATTAAACTTCAGCTTTCCTTCGCTTTTGTTAATTTCATCCAATAATGTCATCCAATCTTTTGTTAATTTTACCCTTTTCAACACAAAGACGAAGTTGCGCTTCGCAAACACAAGCGAGGAAAACGCAAAAAAGAGCTCAAAACAAGTTAAAATAAGGAAAAAATTAAAAATTCACCTCGAAAAAAAAGTTCGTTAAGATTGAGAAAATCATGTTCTCACAACTGCTCTACTACCGCTTGTAATTTTACTAACACTAGGTAGCAATAAAGCAGCTAGAAGTTCTATCAAACTGCCAATGTTAAGCAGCAAAAATTCGATCAAAAAACTATTTAAATAATCCGGATTGGAATAACCGAACTGTTGATTAGGAGTCTTATGTCCTCGCATCTGCGCCACTGTAGCTTGAAAGTAAACTAGTAGCCCACTTAATGCTGGATCTACATGTTCGTTCTGACACGGAAATGTGTAATTTTTTCAATGTTAATTTAAAAAAAATGGGTTTTACGCTAAAGCCTTGTGTTTCTCTGCCAAAGAAGGGGATTAACCGCTTATATAAAGGCACCGACTATTACTTTCTTTTTCAATTGGAGTCTTCACCTCAGATTTGGCTGGGTAGTTTTCAAAAAAAAACAAGATCACAAAAATCTATCAAAATTCAAATGTTTGACTTTTCCTAAATCCACTTTTTCTCTACTAAAACATTAGAATAGCCTCAGCTGTCCACACCCTAATTTTTAGATAGAAGATTTCCGCATCCATGTTTTAGGATTGAACCCTTAAATTCAGATTCAGCTAGTAATTTTTGGTAATGGTGACGAAATTTCTATAAAAAAGGTAAAAACTTGAAAGGAAATTTCAGAAGTCCAAATCTGCTTTTCTAACAAAAACAGGGTAAAAAAATTACTCAGGGAAAATCTAAGCACCATGTCAGTTTTAATGAACACCCAATCTCAAAATTAGCATGATAGTTTTTTTTTTAAAAGAATAACTTTTCAAAAAATGGTTAAATTTCAAAACAGGGCAAAGTCACTTGCACAGGTAAGAATTGCATAACTTATTTTTTTTTCAGTTGAACTTTTGATCTCCGAGTTGGCCAGGTAGTTTTTGGAAAAAAGGTTTTAAAAACTAGCCAAAACGCCAAAAAATTGTCTTAATTGAGGCTATAACTTTTTTTCTACCAAACTTAGAGAACAGCCGCTTGAGAGCAAGAGATGCCCATAATTTGTCATTTTAATTGAAACCTTCATCTCACAGATTTGTGCATTTAATATTTGAAAAAAGAAAACAAATATCAAAATCAAATCGCCAAAATTCCTCTGCCGAAATGTTCGAAAGCCGTAGAACGTAAGGTAAAGAAAAAAGACTTGCAAAATATGCAAGCAGAGGAGAGCAGCAGGTTTTTTCATAAGTATTACTTTTTTGAAAATCGGCACAGTAGTTCAAGAGAAAAACTGAAATTTTTGCGAAAAAAGCAAAATATTTTCTAAGTGTCGCAAAAAAAAAACAACGAATCCAATACATTTTCATGATAGATGTTAATTTCAGATAGAAGCTTTCACTAGCCAAAAAAGCAGCAATATTTGCCATTAAATTGTTTATAATTAAATTAGCTAAAGTATGATTAAATTGAAACATACCAAAAGGGCACCAAATGAGCACTTTTATTTGCGACTTAGGTTAGAAAAAAAAACTTCTTTGTAATAATACACTACACTTGGCCTGTGTAAAAACCTAAAGATGAATTTTGGGTCCGTATATCAGAAAAGACCCGAAATAGCGCGAATAAACAAGAAAGATCAGTAGTGATAAATTCAAAACATGGCATTGGTAAATAGCTATCCCTCGCTCCGTTTAAAATATTTGACATTTATTTCCCTGCAAGTTGTCGCGTGTTACAAAAAAATCAATTCATAAATAATTTTTTCTATTTCTAATAAAAATTTCTAATAGAAAATACATCAGCGTACTTTCGATAATAACTTCAAAATGTGGCACTGGGAAATAGCTATCCCTCGCTCCGTTTAAATTATTCGAGTTGTATTTCGTTGCGAGTTGCCGCGTATTACGGAAAGATCAATTTATAAATAATTTTTTCTATTTCTGAGAAAACTTTAAAGAATAAAATATATCAACGTACTTTCAATAATTACTTCAAAAAGTGGCACTGGCAAATAGCTATGCATCGCTCCGTTTAAATTATTCGAATTGTATTTCGTTGCGAGTTGTCGCGTACTACGAAAAGATCAATTCATA